TGCCTCATTCTGTATATCATTCCTGATTTTCAGAAATACATTTTGTATAATAAGTTTAGTCTTATATAGCATTTACTTTCCAACCACTCATTTATATGAATAAAGCCAATGTTCCTAATGTTGATGTCTGGCTGTTTTCATTCATATTTTTGATAATTGTATTGTATATTAAGTATTGAATTCATTTGATGCCAAACATCACAGATGGACAGAAAGAACCCAATACAGGCATATCATTATTATAGGCAATTATCATATTCAATGAGTCTATGAAATTAAAAATTAAGTTTACAGACAAATACTGTATATCAATGGCAACATTAAAAGTGGCAACATGATAAATTCTTAAATTAAAACATAACAGTAGTTATTATAGTTAGTAATTTTGCTGCTGTAATATCTTATGTATGTGTGCATCAAATATCAATTTATATAATCTTTGAATTTGTTAATTTATATTTATCTCTTGAATTGACATATGTTTATATAATTGTTTCAAAGAATTGGTATTTATTAAAAGTAAATTATTAGCAATTAAATTATTATTAGTATTAATTTGCAATATTGTATTGCAAGCGAGGGATGAAATAAAGGAGTTTTGTTACTTGAATCGATTTAAACGAAAATTATCAGAAATAACAGGCAATATATGAACGATTTAAAAAGCCAGCGGACATTCAAAGGCTATTATACCGACAAAATGATTTGATAGTATATCTGATAAGCTTTCATATTATAATTTTAACATTAATTATTGGCAATTGAACTAATTGTCCGGATTATTGCTATATAAAAATAAGACTTGCATCACAATTATGGAAAATATATAAATAATTTAAACCATGTTTTTAGATAAAAACTATATCTAATGTTAAATCAATATATTTAAGATATGCTTTGCATTTACGGAAATAAATGCGAATAGATTTAAATGTGTAATAAAGTGTATGTTATATAGTAATTAAGAAACAAAACGATCGTTTTATACAATAATCTGTTTATATTAGAGAACAAATAAATAAAATTCAAATCACATTTATTTTAAGTTTAATGTCTTCAAAATTAAAGTCCTCAAATTTATTTCTCTTTTATAATGGCTTTAATTTTTGTATCTTTTAGTTTCCACACATTTGCATATTTATTGCTTTCAAATAATTTAATATCAGATTAATTTGAGATCTTATTTGAATATTAAATGTTATGCCCTATTCATAGCACTTATTATTTATTGTTAAGTATGAGAGAGAGAGAGAGAGAGAGAGAGAGAGAGTAGATTAGTGTATAATATTTGAACACACATTACATTACATATTCTGATCGTCTCTTATATAAGAGACGATCAGAATATGTAATGTAATGTGTGTTCAAATATTATACACTAATCTACTCTCATTTAATATTCAAATAAGATCTCAAATTAATCTGATATTAAATTATTTGAAAGCAATAAATATGCAAATGTGTGGAAACTAAAAGATACAAAAATTAAAGCCATTATAAGAGAGAGAGAGATGTTAGAAATTGTTTAAAGAAAAATAATAAACAACAAGAAATATTGAAATCTGTATTCAAGAATCCAGTTTAGTCTTATTTTTTATATTTTTGGTGTTTAATTGAAAAAACAAACATTTTGTTTACATTTACTGGTAAGACATTGTAATTAAACTAGTATTGAAAGCGAAGTTTTTTAATTATAATGAATTAATAATTGTTTTTTTTCAGTGTGGATAACAAACAACGGGCCGAATGACCGGTGATTATAATTAGTGTTTTGTTGAACTTTTTTTTATTTAGATGTTTATGTATTTAAGTGTGACATTGGATGCGAAGCACGACTTGAATTTCACGATCCAATTTAGTGAACGCTTATATGATTTAGTTTTGCGATCACTTTCTTACATAAATAGGCAAACATTGTTATGCAACGAAAAAAATACACATCACTTTAATTTATAATAGTTATAATCACGAAAAGAATTTTATTATCAAAATCATATATATTTTACTTGATTTTGACTTCTATAACGTATAGTAGAGAAGAGTAATGAAATAGTAGTGTATTTTTCATAGAGAAAACATTAGATGAGAATCAGTGGCAGCGCTTCTAATCAAGAATTCGTGACAAACAACACCTTTTCTTCCACTCTTCCAAACACTTATATAAGAGACGATCAGAATATGTAATGTAATGTGTGTTCAAATATTATACACTAATCTACTCTCTTTGCTCACTGTATATACACACCAATAATTGTATATTTATTTTTAAAAACCTATGCATTTATTTTAAACATCTATTCCCTCTTCATATCCCTTTCATAACTAATTAGTTTTTCAATCATTAAATTGCATTATAATTAAACACTTAAATAAATCTTTAATTATTTGCAAATCCTTTCGGGAAAATCTGATAATTTAGTTATAATTATATTTTGATTAAAAAGATGTATTCGTTATATTCAAACACTTTGAACGGAATTAATTTATACAACAAAATTAATAAATATAAAAATTCATTCAATATTTTTCTAATTAAAAATAGTGTGAGAAAACTATTAACTCTTATAACTCTTATCGTTATTTCCAATATTATTGGTTTTCTTTATAATTAGTATTGGAAATACATTTTATAAATTGATTGATTAAATTATATCATAATATAAATATAATTTTAATGTTAATTTTAAATGCAATATATTATTGAATAAAAACTCATTAAGAAAATACATGTAAGTTGGTTACACTTTTTAGCATAATTTTTTGAGACAATGCAGTTTGTCGTAAATTATGTATACTAAAGGATCCTGTTCTACATAGCAAAGAATATTATAAATATAAATAGATTGACCAAAGGGTTATATTTTGAAATGTTTTCACAATCCAAATAAACTATAACATACATAAATTAAATTCTTTTATTAAGCATAATTAATCAAATGATATTTAAAGTAAAAGCTGTTTAACAAACTATTATTGGTAAAACCTTATTCAAATATATTCCTATACTATAACATAAATTCATTTTTCATTTGTTTTTGACAAAAGTTAGTAAAAATAATTCACGTAAATATTATTTTCAAATAATCGGCAGAATTGAACAGAATCTGTGCCTAATATAGAGCTGCCGTCTATTGAAATGAGGAAATATTATATACTATGTTATAAGAGACAAATCGGGGATCAATTATAAGTGATGGCCGAATGGCGGGCGACGGGAAGGAAGTGTCAAAAGGAGTAATGCTTTCCACTTGTATTTATGATACCTTTAGGGACAATAATATCGATAATCATTTCTAAACAGTAGTGACATGTCCTCCTCTGGGCATCACTGACAGCATCTAAATTAATACTATTCTCCAAATAAATGCAAAAAACAGCAAAACTTTAAATACTATTTTTTAGAAAAATAAATTTAAGATTTGAAATACCAATTAGTTTTAAAATATAGAAATTCAATGGAAAAACAAAGCAAATGACAAAATTAGTTTCAAAATAATATCTGAATTAAGTTATTTATTAATATGATATTTGCCTTAAAATATTAATTGCTAATCAATTCAATGGTTGTGAAAAGTACTTTAACATAACTGAAGGGGTATTTCGTAAAGAAATATTGTTGGGGCGAAAACATTGACACTTTAAATGCATATTTATATCAATATTAATTGCATTAAGTGTTGAAATAAATTGCATTCAACTCTTCATCTGATGTTTGTTTAAATGTAATGATTGTTGTAATGATTGAGAGCTCTCCGAATGTAATTAAATTCATTTATAGGAAACTGAATTTATTTTACAAATTAAGTAATTACTGATAATTGCAGTATAGAGTGTACAAAAATTAATTGTTAAAAACACTATTATAAACAATGTTTAATGACATGAAAATAATTGTACCAAAAATACTCCAAAGAATTTTGTCTACAAAAGTCTTGTTTGAATAACATTTGGTGTTCTCAATGTGTAATGGTTTACAAGTTTTTGTGATATTTGTGGCAAAAACTTTGTTAAGATATGAGAATTGGATGTAAGGGTCAGTGATCTAAATGATGCTCTGAAGCCACTTATCTATGGGACAGATCGTCAGAAACAGACATTACTATAACTCACAATTCATGACAAGTGGTTGACGTCTAAGACTGTGAGACACGCAATGAATTTGAGTGAATGAATTGATTGCACTATATTTAACATTATATACATATAATCGCATACAATATTCAAAACATTTTCTTGAAAACCATCTTTGAAAAGAAGGCCAATTATGTTGAGCCCCTGTTCCTCACCGATGCCCTGCAAAAAGTACATTCAATTTTATGTGTTTTAGTTTTCATACAATCATATATACGTCCCATTCATCGATGCCTTCAATGATTTTGTTTCACTCTTTGCGTTAATTGTAATTGTCTTTTGCATAAAAAATGTGACTGATTTTCAACTTAAAATATTTATGTTTTTTGAACAGTATTTATATTAAACATAAGATATGATAATTACATATTTAGTACATTTTAGACATTCATTATCTCTCGCACCGAAGTTTTCTTTAAAGAATTATATGGAAATATTTCATTGCAATAATATTTTACTTGTATATAAATATAAGAACTTTTCAGATATAATATATAAGATTAAATTCATGCATACATTACATAAAGTTTAGTTTTGATATTAAAATTGAATATAAGTTTTCGTTTGCAACCATTACCACAGGTTAGGAGAAGTTGTTTACACGGTTCAGGTCTACTATCATCACTCACTGTACACTATTGGATGGTATACTATAATTGGGACTCAAATATTCTCATATAGTGTACTACATGAATGGTTTGGCGCAATATATCTATTGATATATCTATACATATATTGTATTCAATAGAAATGAAGCCAAAGAGAGAGTATATTTTAACGAAAACTATTTTTGCATTGAAACACATTTATTAGATTTTGTTGAGTGAGAGCGCAAAAGAGCGTATTGTAGACAACATATAATTTAGAAAATGATGTATTTCTTAATGGTTTAGTAGAGCCGAGCCCTCGACCCATGTTCTGCTCGTCTTAACACAACTTGATTTGGGGAAAGAGAAGTCGCCTATACCTCAAGTGAAGGCATTTATTTTCACCTGACTTTTTAAAAATACGTTTTACTCATAAAGAAACACAATAATAGAAGTGCAACTTTTTTAGTACTATTTATACACAGAACTTAAGATTAAGGTAAAGAGAGAGAAGAGGAGAGGGAAAGAGAGATCGTTTTTATGTGCATTGGGTCGTTAGCTATCATATAATAAGGTAATACAGTGCAACTTCTCTATAATGAACGGCCAGTTGCACGACAAAAGTGTTCATTATAGGGAGGGTTCATCCAAGGGAAGTTCGAGTAAAAATGTCTTATTTTTGATGAATATTTATAAATAATAGCAATTATTGAAAATAATCAGTAATTTTAGTTTGTTTAGCTATATTTAAGTGACAATTAAATGCATTAGTTTTAATTTTGTTCAATTGTTCAAATATTTAAGCATTGGATGCGTTTCTAGATATAAAGTAATAATTTAAAGTTCACTAATCAAAGAATGAATACAAATCTCTTACAATATTGAATGAAAGTTGATATAAAAATGTGTTTTTGTTTGCTTAGAAGTCTTAGATTAGAAACTATTTTAAATATTTTTAGGGATCATTTGCTTATTATTATATTTGTTCATTATTGGGAGTGAAAGTTTTATCTTAATCTCTATAAATGCGTTCATAATAGGGAGGTATTCATTAATAATGAATCATTATGGAGAAGTTTACCTAAGGGAGGTTATTTTAACATTATAAGTATAGGAAATCCAACATTAATTTCAAAACCGTTCATTATGAGGAGGTGTTCATCCAAGAAAAGTTTACCCAAGAGAAGTTGCACTGTATATTGAAAATGATTTGCAAATTGATTCATATGTATGAGAAAGACTAACATTTCCATCAATAATTAGTTAACAACAATAAAATGCATATCTAATCCCTAACAAACAACTAAAAACAATTTTTTAATAAACAGTCATAGTTTGTCAATTCTGTAACTTTTTTACAGAATAAAACATGTTAAAACATGATAACTAAATCACCCTGGTGTTCGCAGATGCTTTGCCAATTTAATTTTGAACAGTGAGTTTGTCATTGTTTTATACTTACTTGTTAGAACAACAACAATAATAACAAATGACATTTATCAAATTTGATATAAATAGCAATAATAATATAATGTATTTATGTATGTCTGGTGAATGAATTTATCAGGTGTATTATTATTTAAACATTAGGTTTAGCCTTAATATGAATACAACTGTTACCACAAATGGCGATAATTGTTGTAAAGTTTCACTGTTTGATAGATTAAAGGGTTTGTTTAAAAGTGACTTAAATTCACGGCAATTGTATTTATTAATAACGTTATGCTATGGATGTGTACTGACCAGCACTTCAGCGTCACTGGACGGACCCTTTTTCCCGGCTGTGGTCAGTCCTATTATTATTTGTTTAATTTTAATACTATTTATTTTAATAGACTTGTTAAATATAGTGTGTAAAATTAATAGCCCGATATTATTTTTAATTAAAAACAATTTGTTTTAGTGTTGTCTAAACTTTTATATTTAATTTTCTAAAAATCATTTTTAGTTTTATTTTATCCTTGCTAATGCATTAATAATTAATTAATACAATATAGCAACTAATAATATAATTAATATTATCAATATAAAATTTTGTAGGCAATTAAAAGAGGGGTTACCGAGACATGGATTGGTGTTATAAACGCTATAATAAATGTGGGATTTATAAGCGGATCATACGTATCAAGAAAATTGGTGAGACATAACAATGATCATTTTATAAATAAAATTTAATTAATCAAGATAAATGTATTTTGACAGTTGACACGTTTTAAACCAAAATACATTTTAAAAATATCAGTTTTACTTTTTGGCATTTGCATCATTGGGTTTGGGTATGCCTACCATTATTAAATTAACATACTAATTTGAAGTAGTCTCCGAAATTTGGTGTAAAAGGTCGACCCAACCCAACCCAACCCGTGTTAAAATTAGAAAACATAACCCAACCCAACCCTAATCCAGCTCAACTCAACCCGTCAACCCGTTAACCCGTCAACCCGTTTTCAACCCGTCAACCCGTCAACCCGTTTTCAACCCGTCATGTTAAACATGTATACAAGTATTAATTTCGCAGTCTGCGCAACAGTCTGCGCACTTTTCACCCCAACCCGTCAGCCTGTTTCTAACCCGTCAACCCGTTTTCAACCCGTTGTCAACCCAACCCAACTCGGCCTTTGAAAACGTTAACCCAACCCAACCCAACCCGTGCCGGGTTGGGTTGGGTTTACGGGTTTACGGGTTACTGCTTACATATTTCGTAGGCTAATTTGAAGTGTACAGTGAATATATACTTGTTTTCAATTCTAATCTAGTTGTTTACAATGGTGCTATTCGTCAACCTATTTCATCATAATCGCAATAGTCATTCAGTTATGTATTGGTCTACAAATGGGCACATATTTTACAACATGCTATTCATTGATATGCCTGGAGTTTACGGAAAATCTACATTCCGTGAATGTGAGATATGATTACATTTATATTACAGTATTAGACCATTTGTGTGAACTAATCTTATGTATAAAATAAACCTAAAATAGTATCCCATAGACATACTATTAAAAAAAGTATCATCTGTGTGAACATATTAATTGTGTAAACCAAACGCTGAAAATTTTTTACTTCACACAACTTCATAGTTTCTTACTGTACTAATAATACTGTATTATTAATATTGTGATTATTATTAAAATAACATGTTTAACAATATTAGGCAAAGGTTGAAATGAATTATTCAATTGGCCTAATAATTGGTCCACCAATTGCTGGATTTTTATATCAAGTAAGTTTATTTTTGAACATTTATAATTATAAGTTGTTTACCTTTACTTTTACTATCACATTATTTGAATAAATTACTTATCATGCTAGGAATTTAGTTTTCCACTAAAACTAAGAATTAATTAATTTTATGATTAATATTAATGTACTTAACTTATAGTTAGGAGATTTATATGGATATGGCTTTTGTTTGCCTTTCTTTGTGTTTGGCGTGATTTCAATAATTACTGCAATTATATTGCATTTTGTCGTTAAATCTGAAGGTTTGCCAATATATTCAGTATTTGTTATATTATTGTGTATTTAATTAAATATTCTTTTGGATTACAGAGTTATATAAAAATACGGAAAATGTATCAATCATTCAATTGTTGCGAAACCCATCCATAGTATTGAACGCAATGCTTAACCTAAACGCCGGTTCAATCATAGGCTTCAACACCACTACACTTACACTTCATATTTCTGAAGTAATTGTTTTAATTTGAATTAAAATGACCAGATGTCCACTACTGTTCTAGATTGTCCATGCATATTTAAAAATTAGTTTAGTTATAAAAATTAGAAATTAAAGTTAGAAATCAAAAGTTGTAGCATATATTATATCAATTATAAACTAACAAAACATTAAATTTAGTTAACATTTAAAGACGGTTTAATTTATAAACCCCAATAACATCACGTCACTCTGCTATAAATTCATGTTACTTTAAATTTACATTAGATTTATTTAACTATATATTTTTTATTATAGATATCTAATATATCAACAATTTTTGTGGGCCTTATTTTCTTTACGTCTGGATTTACGTTATTTGTATTCAACATTATATTTGATAAACTAATTCCGAAAATTGAAAACTGTTTTAATGTCAGTTTGTTTGGCTGTCTGTCCATTTTGGTTGGTGCTATCATTATTGGGCCCATACCTGGCATACCACTGGCCCCGTAATATTGATAGGAGTTTATAATGATGAATTATTTGTTTTGATAAATATCATTTTTTAAACACCATAGCAATTTGTGGGTTATAATTGGTGCACAAGTATGTTTTGGTTTGGGTATCAGTGCCATACTAGTGGCCACATTCGCCGACGCTCACCGTGAAAAAATGTATGTGTGACAATTATATTTGTGTTATTTTATGCATATATTTTGACATGTATTTTTTTATTTTGTTTGACACAGCAAGGGAATGGTCACCTGTGCCTCTACAACATCCATACTATCGTCGATGTTTACCACATCCGAGGCTATGGGGTATTGATTTAATTGTTGTGCAATTAATTAATAATGTTTTAATGATATGATTATTTTTAGTGATTTTGTTGGCCCTCTAATCGGCGGCTCATTTATGGAAAACTTGGGCTATGACTGGGCGACTGTGCCATTATGTCTGTTCCAGGTGACCCTGGTAAGTGATACTGTGTTTTTATATTGATTTAATTTAATATATTTTTAATTTTTAAAATAAATTTTAAATATTTTTAGATACTATTGATTTTGGCGTATATTTTATTTCAAAAATGTTTAACATCGGAACCTGAAAGGTTTAGGTTAATTAAACGCATGATTAGTTTAAACAACAGCCCTGTTATACACCCTGAATGATTATGCAAATGTTTAGTGTTATAGTTTATTAGTTTGTATTTTATATGTATATATTGTTATAATTTTATATTAATTTATATATGTTATTTTGATTACATATTAATTGATTTAATAAATTTTATGATTAAATAAAGTAATTCTATCATAATTATTATAAAATTTGTACTTAACTGTAAAGGTATGTACAATTGCATGATTTTTAAGCGACTTTTCAAACTAATAAACTATTTTATTATATTAACTGGAATAATAGTGGTTTATGATGGTGTTTATAATGACATGAAATGTAGTAAATTAATGCACATGTTATTTTGACAAAGGTATTTGTATTAAAATACATAGTAGAAACAAACATCCGGTAATTTACCATAAATATTTACTCAGAATTATAGTAAAGCAACAATTGTTTATACAGAATTAATTTTGAGGATCAAGAGGTACAACCATGGTAAATTTATTATTTAAAATTTTTAAATATTGTATATATAAATTAATTTTGTTTTGTAACAAAATTTTTATTTATAATAAAAATATGATAATGTTTAAATTATTGCCTGATTTAAATGTAATTAAATGCATATAAATTTATTGTTAGTTTATATTGTAGTAATCTATTACACAATATTTTCAATTTTATTGAAATTATAAATTAGTTAAAATCTCTATTTTTTCACTATTTCTCTTGTATTTTGTTATAACTTATAATTAAACGTAAACTATATTTTGAACGATAATTAATATCATAAGACAATAAGACTTTTATGACCATATTGTTTTGCACACATATAAAGCCATAATAAGTATTTATAACAAGTATTCACTATTTCTGAGTTTAATTGCAGAAAACACACAAAAAAAACTCACAATTGAATTGAGATGTGAAGCAATAAACCCAATGAAAAATGAAGTTTGCATTAGTTATATGTGTTATCCAAACAGTGGTTAGATTTGACTGTTTGGACGCCAACGACAAGAATCTATACGAGCGATGCCTATCAGACGCTCAATGTTTGGGCACCGGTAGTGCCGCCGATGATGTCAACGGAGATCAGACCGTGTTTTGCTGGCAAACGGCCGGACAGTGTGTCTGCGCCGATGACTACCAGGATATGGACGGCGAGTGTCTACTGATAGCCGACCCGTACGATAAGCACGAATGTACCGCTGCTAAGCCGTGTGCCGGCAAATACGAGGCCTGCCATAAGGGTCAGTGCAAATGCGCCCCCAATTATAAATACGATAAAAAGACCAAGGGCTGTGTCAAGCACAAATGTAGCGAGGACAAACACTGCCGGCAACTAGATGATAAACATATGGACTGCGATAAAGGCACCGGGATGTGCCGGTGCGATAAGGGCTATGAGGTTAACACTGGGCACCTATGCGTTAAATCACAGACAACAACACCTCAACCCACAGCTAAACCAACCGCTCCGGCG